TAAAAGCACAAGTAATTCAACAAGAAGCCATTTAAAATATAAACCCATTGACTTGGAATTTAGGTGAGTCTTTCCATTGGGAGGGGATAAAAAAGTAGTATCCATTTCCTCTTAAATAAATTAAGTTTCTAAAATGTCATAAAAGAAGGCTTTGCCACAGAGGAGGGAAAAAGAGTGTTAACAATCTTTTCTCTGAACTACCATTTCCAGATATATCACATATTCAAGTAGTGTTAATAGTATCCCTGAAGATGTTGAATTTATTGTAAAAATTAGAATGTAAAAGCAGACTGTCTCACAGGAGAAGCACCCCTAAAGTCTGGAGCTTTGGAGAGGGAAACACAGAGGAGGAAAGACCCTCTGGTACTCTCTTGTAGGTTCTAGAATCACACTGTCTAAATGACAGCAGCCAGTCACATGTGCATAAGTAGCTGGGGAGCCTGCATGGGACCACACTAGGACCCTTGAATGAGAGTGACAGATGTGTGGCTTGATCTGTTTGTGAATCCCCTGACAATGGAACAGGACTCATCCCAAGTCATGAACTGGCTTTTTGAGAGCCCATTCCCTATGGTGGGATGCCTTACAACTCAGCCTTGACACAGGGGGAAGGGGCTTGGGCCTGCCCCAACTTGGTATGCCAGCCTATGCTAAATACCCAAGGGAAGCTTTACCCTCTGTGAGGAGTGGGTGAGGGTGGGATGAGGGAAGGGAGGGGGAGCAGGAGAAGGGGAGGGAGGGGGAAACAGTGGATGGTATGTAAAATGGAAAAAAAAAACTTTAAATACACAAGAAACCTTAAATAAACAAGTAAACCTTTAAAAAAAATTAGAATCCAATGCAATTTAAAGATTCTTCTTACTTGCTAGCCACATTCAAGTGATCAATGGGTAGATGCAGACAGAAGCTTCATTTTGACAGAAAAAAGCATAGAAAAACTGCAATTCTTTAAGAAAGTGCTAGTATCCACAGTTTGATGGACTAGCAAAGAACAGGAAGTTGCCATCTAAGGATAATTGCATTCAGAATAACACAGGCCTCTCAGCTTTATGAGGATGCAGAAGGCCAGCCTTTCTGTCTCCTAGACAATGGAATACCAACTTCCTAACAACGCCCCTCAGATCCCTGTGGGATTCAATTCTCTGCAAGTGTCAGCAGCTCTTTTTTTTGCCAGGAAACTCACAACGTCTTTAGCTTCACCAAGGATGTTTGCAGGTTTCTAGGCTGACTAGGAGCCAGAAATAGAATCTGCCCATACATATTTATTGCAGCCATCATTAAGAGTGAGTCAGCACCAATGGAGAAAGCAGCAGTCTAAGACCTTCCATCCATAATTCTGGAGTTTGATTTAGATCCTTTGTTCTTGTGAAGGCAACTGGGGTCTGCTAATGTTGTAGTCTCATTAGTGAAACTGAAATCCAGTTTAATTTTTACAAACACTCTTTTAGTAATCCAATTAAAATACAATTTTAATAGGAATAAGAGGTGGTAACTTCGCTTTCAATCAGATACAATTTGGAAGCAAACATGTTCTATTTGGCTCTCCTGGGTAAGAAAGAGTCTGGCTAAGGGCAGTGAAAGAATCCATGTTCACAGGTCTCCATTCTGTTCTGACCTTGAAACGTTCCAAGGTTACAATCCAACCAGCACTTATTGGGAAGTTCTGGTGTCAGAGAATTATGAAACTATGTTTCAATTTGTTTGTATCTGCTTATTTGCTTCCTTATGTGGAACTAGAGATCCAATCTATAGCTACGTGTACTCATGCAAGGCAATTGCTGTAGCACTGAGCTAGATACCAATACTCCATTAAAAAAATATATATGCACCATACATTGAGATTGTCATGCTCTGGCTTCATGCTGATGAATATTTTAAAAATTAACATTTATATACTTGATGTGTGTGAGTCACAGGCCAAACTAAGAGTACCAGTTCTCTCCTTTCTCCTTGAGGGTTGCTGGGAATCAACTCAGGTCATAAGGCTTAGTGGCAAGTGCTTTTACTCACTGAGTCTTCTTCCAGACTCCTTGATAAGTATTCATGGCTCCTTTGTGATAAATTCTCACTAGGCTTGACTTAGGTTGGACTAAATAAATACATAAATGTCATGACATTAACTTTCAATATATGCAGCATCACGTTATTATGAAAATTTGACATAGTGCCAAAAGGTTCACTATTTAGTCCAAAAGAGGACACACATACAATATTTATAAAACATTTGGCTTTTAAGATGGTCTGAAAAAGGCCAACTACATTCTAGGGATGACTTTGTGTACATGCATCTGTGATGTTGTACACATAAGTGGTGTTCCTCGTTGTCTAACCCAGGAGGAGCCCAGAACTCATGGAGGGAGCATGCACTCCTGTAGGGCACTATTGACATGAACTTTAACATCCATCACTGTCCTTTAGAATTAGAGAGAGGAGACACAGAAAAGAGGGGCAATCTTCAGTCAATTCTCATTAAACATGTCAGAAATCCCCTTCTGTTCTAATAAAGTTCTAAAATAAAGTAAAATTGCTTCAGACCCTCTTCTGAAAATATAACAACCCCTCCTTGAGGTGAATTTGCTTTGTCTCCCTTCACTAGGTTTGATCTTGAAATAGCTATCATTTCACAGAAAGGGAAACAAAAGAAAGCCAAAATGAAGCCAAGGATTTGGAAGGCCACTTGGCCCCCCAGCTATGGGAGGAGTTACCACTGTGGGTGTTGTTGGGGCTCCTACAGCCCTTGAGGGATTTTGAGGGAGAAGAGGGTAAAGGAGATTGAGAGGAGATGAGTGAGATTTGAAGAGGAGAGTCTGCTTTTGTATGCACCAATTAGAGTGTAAGCAAAGCAGCTGCAAGCTAAGGAGACAAAGTGTGCTGGGAAAATAGCCCCTTACAAATGTGCCTGCTCTCCAGCTGTTAGATTCCATTAAAATGCCCCATCCTTGCTGTCTATCTTGAACATTTTCTCTTGACAGCTGCAGATGCTCTGTTGGAGATGTTGGAGAGGGAATGTAGTCCATGCAAGAAAACATAACATCGTTCTCCTTATATTCTCAATTGAGGAGAAATGGATACGTTTAAAAAATCATGATGGATGTGTTATAATAATTAATATAACAGATTACTTTGGTTTTGAAATTCACATTCTTTTATCATAAAATTCAAGCATTTTCTAGGATAAAAAATGCATTTAAAGATAGTGGTGCATGTGCTACATCTAAATATGTACTTGAAAACATTTTAGAAGTTCTTTCATAAACATACTTAAAGGTCATTTCATAATGACTGGAATATTTGGACAAGGAACAAGAAGTAAAATTTTCAGTTTTTGAGGTGATAAACAGGTCTATAATTCTTAGCAATTTTACACACATACACACACACATACACACACACACACACACACACACACACACACACACACACACAAATTTGTAAAGTATCCTATGTAAGCTAGCTGTTTCTACAGATGCAGAATTAGTGCAGCTCCAGGAAAGAAACCTGTATGCTTCCAGTCTTCCAGATAAAAAGAATGATACCAAGTATACTTGCCAGGTGACAAGGACTGTGAAGTGATTAATGTCAGGGGTTGAAAGATGCCATTAAGGACATCATGTGTCAACTTGAGAATCTTACAAGGAGTGTGGCAGAAATCATACATTTCATCCGTTTGGTTCATGCCAAATTAGTATGTTTCATGGAACTTGAAGTTGATTTGCCTCTAAGCAAACATTCCTGAAGAGATTTTGCACTCTTAGTTTCAGAATGAACAGATTTCGAGGAATCTAGCCTGAATTTCAGTAATTATTTGGGTGGTATTCATATAACAACGAAGAAAAATACACATTTTGCATTTTATAAATAACGCTGTCACTCATTTATGATTTAAACCACATTTTGTCCTTTGGCAAATATCCATCTCTACAATGAGTTGAGGAGTGAGAGCTTTTGCCCCAGGGAAGCATAGGCAAAGCTTGCCCCTTCCACGTCTCTCCTGGTTAGTACAAGGGGCATCCGTGAGGACAAGCACACAGGGTGAAGAGTTCAGAGAAATAACAACACCATGTCCAAAGCGGAAGGAGATCTTACAGGGGCGCAGATAAAGCTGTGTAAAGCTTTCTGCTGTAAAGCTGCCAGAACATAGCTTAACTAGCCAATCCTGAAGCCACTAAGCTGGCATAATGTACATGAGTCTTCCCTCACTCCTCATCCTTCCATGGGACTGCCTGATGTTGTCCAGGATGGTGGTGTGCTGTGATGAGCCATATCCTCCTAGGGGCACTAATAGACCATCTTCTCAGTAACAGCCATCTGATGCGTTAACTTTATTATTCCTGAATAATAATAAAGCCTACACTTTCATGCAACTTGTCCCTACCCCTCTATCGCTGCGCCCTCATACAGGACTTGTGATAAAATCAACTTTTGTTCTTGCCACATTTTATGATCCATAAACTCCTCAACTACACATTAAAACCATTGCTGAAATCTCTGGGACTTGTGATAGTTTTCTTTTGCAACTTACATTATAATTGTTTACTTCCTTAGTGCAATTTACTCTCAAATCATTGTTATTTAATTCTAGTGTTTTTAGGGTCCAAATATCTCTTGGTTATTGATGATGTTCAATAAATGCTTACTGAGTAAATTGATTTTTTGAATAAATAAATCCCCTACCACCTTTACTAAAATAACACCTGTTTTAAATTTATTATATCATCAGATATCTTGCCAGTTGTTCACTAAAGTGGATAATGTCTGGTTTACATACTCTGGTTCCCAAACTAGATTGTGAACTAGTATTGTGTAACACTATTGCTGAGGAGTCATGAACAGGTATCTACTCACTCCAGGTAGGGAACCAATCTAAGTAAAGGAAGGATAGCAACAAAGTCCAAATTAATGAGATTATTGAGTTTACCTACAGAAAAGACATGACTCAGAGATAGTTGCACCAGAAAAAGCCCATCCCAGCATGAATGATGGTTTGTGAAAGCTGGAAATCTGGAGCATACTGCACACCTCCTGTTGACAGGTTAGCACGTATTGCCACAGGCAGTTTGGACATTTCTTTCTTTTGCAGGCAGTTTAGTGGCTTGGCTGGCCTGAGAGGCTTCTGGATACCTGAGCTTGTCTGATAATGTCTCTCAGCTGTCATCTGGGCTTAAGTAAGCTTTAGGAAGTGGGGGCCTAGTGATCCTGGTAATTTTCAGGGACTTTCTAAAACTTGTGAGTTGTCTTTCTAAAGCATTTGAGTTGGTTGCTTCCTGAGATTTAGGAACTTGCCTCCAAGAGAGGATGTTCTATCTCCCTTTAGAACACCCTGTGCCTTAAAGAACTCCTCTGCAGGACAGAATGCTTTACCAGGGAAGAGGTTTTCTATATAACAATTGGTAAGAATACAACACTTGCATATTTTTTAGCATTAAGTTAAATGCTTGCACATGTTTATAACTGATTGATTGTTTAGTAATCCAACTAAATTCAGATTGTTTTTAGAATAGAACAAGATAGAAGCAAGTAAAATACTGTATACGTATCTTCAAGTACAATATCTGGGGTCATATATTCAGACTATTTTATCATGATGCCTGCTTTCTTGAGGCATCCTCATACCCTTGGTGCTATAAATAAATTCTATGCTTTTTGGATGTTAACTAAGCCTATATCAAAGTGCAGAACAGCATAGAATTATTTGTGACAAAAATCTGTAAATTAGTATACACATTTGTAAGCCATATTGTCTGCAAAGATAACAAAACTCTTAAAACTTGAATAAGAAAAAGAGTCATTCCTGGAGAATGTGCTAGTATCTCACATGATCCAGTGAAAAGTTGAAGTCATGCTCAGAGCCTGCCCCTGCCACACACATTTTTTTTTCCATTTCATTGTTTATTTCATTCTTTGACCCTTCGCCCCTGTCATTGTCCTCTGCTCTGCCACACTGTGAAGTCCCAGGGCCCTTCTCAGGCAGATCCACCCACACTGCTTTTACATCAGTTGTTTCCGGGGAACAGACTTGGTCAGGCACATGTGTAGGTTCCCAGGACAGGACGAAGAGTGAACCCCAGAGTGGCTTTGGAGTCCTCCACTCTTCTGCGGCATGACCAGTCTTCAAGGTTTGTAGCTTGGAAATCACCTGTGACTGCCTTGGTGTCCTTTGTGCCTGTAACAAAACATTTTAACAATCGTCTGTCAATTTCCTAAAGAAAATATTAGGTTCATCTCAACAAAACCTTTTGCTCTGTAAACTTCTGAATCAAATTCTGACTTCAGTTATGCCTGCCCTTTTGAGACCTCATCTTCAGAAATGCTTTGAGCTCCTCATTCCTCTAGCTTGGGTCTCTTTTTCCCAGGCAGTGTTTATCACTCTTTGCTAACTGAATGAGCTTCTTTGGATCCATTATAAAGTCATCCTTATTAAATAAACAGTTCAGCAACTTAATTGAAAATACACTTAGCCAACAATCCAATGTAACACTTTGAATACACTGTGCTAGTGATTTCTCCCTGGAGTGCAGAAAGTTCCAACTTGGCTTCAGTACTGTAAAAGGAAAAACAAAATGGCAAGTAACAAAACAGTGTCCATAACAGAATCTTCAGATGCCGTCAGTTGATGTTTGAAACAACATGATAATACTAAAATACCCGTCCCATCGTATTTGTTGTGAATTCACAAATTTGCCTATCAAATACAGATTAATACTTAGATTACTTCTCAAGTCCCCATCAGGATTAAAAGGCAGGGCTTAATGCCATGTTTTGTAAATATCCATGGGGAAGTGGGGGTTTGCCCTTTTCTGAATAGAAACAGAGAAGGAGTGGATGGTTGTGGCGAGGCAGAGATGAGGTGGCATGGAAAGACTGGGAGGGGAGGAAGGAGGGAAAATTGTGGTCAGATGCAAAAATAAATTAATTAATTAAATAAAGAAAGGCACAGTTTATTGCAAAGCTCTACTTTTATTGGAAAAAAGATTTTCAGTGGGTAATTTAGTGTTTTCAGCATGTATCTGTTTTTAGCTCTTTTTGTACAATGGTCGTGTCTCTTACCAAATGATTTCTTGACCAAAAATTGAGCTTAACTCTTAATTTTGAGCTTCAAATGAGCTTAACTCTTAATTTTGCAGTTATAGTAAGAGAGGCTGAGTGGCAGTCCACAATGGTGTGGGGTGTCAGCCTGTCCTCAGCTTTCATAGGCAAAAGACTGCACCAATCTTGGCCAGGAATCTTCCTTTAAACACATTTTTCCAGCCTGCCTGCTTTGCTGTGTCTAAGTCTGTTAATAAAGCTAACGTTTTAGCTTGACAATAAAGCCACTATGACTCCATATAAACTTCCTTCTAATTATTAAAAGATTGAAAGGAAACATTTAAATATAACTTTGAGCTGAAAACAAGTCTTTATGCTTATTTCAATAGAACAATCTAGTGGTATAATCCCTTTTCGGTTTATTAGGAGATGGTAATGAAAACTTTAATTCCACACAGTCAATGTGTGTCACATGAATTTATGGGCTGAACAGCTGTTGCTGCTGGAGCATTTAGAGTGTGTCTCAGCTGATGAGTTGCTGTCTCCATGACAAGGGATGCCTTAAACATAATTATAGTACAGCTGCAGTCACAAAGGGTTCTGATGTCCCACAATATTTTAAGTGGCTTTTCAAGCCTCAATCAAGATAGCTCTAAGTGATTGAGTCTATGATTTTGTACACAATGATTTGTACCTTTGGCATAATATTCATGGGTTACCATATTGTACCCTTGGGAGGTATAAACTATAGCTTCATTTTATATATTATATATTTATATAATATATATATATATATATAACACTTCTGAAAACAAGTAATTTGAAAATTCAGAAATTCAAAATCAGTACTAAAATGCATGTCTCAGATAAACTAGGAGTGCATTTTAACTACTACTGTCTGATACATAAATGTCCCAACTTTCAACAATTCTGTCTTGATTTTCTCAGTCTAAAAAATCTTAGGGTGAGAGCTGAGAGACCACAGCCACTGTCACATTTAGTGCTGGGATTTGTTTAACACACAGTGTCTGCCAAGCACTCCAATTGTTTCTTAATTACCCACTGAAGAATGAGGACAAACTTATGGGCCCAAAACAGAGAAACCCACTGGAAAGGAACAGGCAACTCCCTTCTGAGAATCACACTTTGAATTTTCCTTCTTAATTTTTAAAAGAAACAAAGGAAAGTTGAGAGCTTCCATTGTATCCCAGATGTGGCCCTGACAATGGGTGCTATGAATATGAACAATTGCACTTCTCTATGAGATTATACTGGTAGATTTCCAAAACTAACAAGTCATTTAAACGTCAATGCTGCCTCAGGTGTGAGCCTCTTCAATTCATTCTGTCTTCATATTTTTTATACACCCTTGATTTGGAAGATGTAGATCATCCCTGCCTGCAAAGGAAAAAAAGTAAAAAACAGTTAGATGACAAGCCACATTTGTGTTTCCAGGGATGATGTCAAACGACTTTAAAAATACCTGGAACCCAGCAAGGAAAAGGACACTCTGATGCTCAACTTAGCCTTTCATATTCTGAAACACACCTCAAAACAGAATAAAAATAGGGTGAAGTTACCTTGTAGTAAGCTTCTTGACCATGGCGGAGAAAACCAATGGAAAGACCCAACACTGTGAATAAAGGTTCTGTTTTGGATTTTGGTTTGTTTTGTTGTGTTTGTTTGTTTTGTTTTGTTTTTTAAGTTGGAAATTCAAGACTCTAGTTTTTCATCTATCTTCAAAAAAATGTAGATAAGGGAGGATGAAAGGGCACCACACATAATATATTCTAACTAGTGTTACCAAATTAAGAAATGCAAAAACAAATCTAAACATTTTCTGAATTGTAGAGTATCTCATTTGTTTTTGTTTTTTTAAGTTTTGCATTTTATTTTATTCTATTCTATATGTATGATTTCAGAAGGGGTCAGAATCCCTGGAGCTTAAGTTACAGATGGTTGTAAGCCACATGTACCAGTGAGCCATGCCTCCAGCTCACAATGTGAAATTTTAAGCTTAAACTTTGGACACCTATATGAAATACAGATGCCTTTCATGCTCCATCTGGCATACTGGAAAGTGACCCAATTTTAGAACCCAAAGATGGATGTGAGACACTGCTCTTCTTTTTCTATTCCCAGGATCCTAGAATCCTCACCCAACTTCTTCAGGCTCCCCTTCCCTCATGTACACTTTGGGTCTTGACAAAAGAATCAGGAGCTGAGTTAATTTGATATAAAATCATCTTGGGCTAATTTAAGTGGGTATATCTGGAGATATCAAATATCAAGTATCTTCCTCAGATGAGAGAACATTTTGCTAGTTTCTTGAAATCTCAGTGAGATATATATTAAACTTGATTCTTATGGAATACATATTACTAACTTAGAGACCTTAGTGTATCAACCTTAAAATAACAGAGATATGTATTTCATAATGATTAATAGTTTGTATTACTTGTGTAATTATTTGTATATAGTTGTATAATTGCAAAATTTTATTTGTATATAGTTGTATAATATAAACTGTCTTTCTTTCTACTGAGAAAACATTGAATTCTTTCAGTTTGGGATTTAATAATTTAAAGTTTGCCTTTCCAAGCATGAAAATTCAATAGCTACTGGGGCCTTGTTCCTTCAGTCAAATGTGAAATAATTTGAAACTCCTCACCTCTCAGGGTGCTTGGAAGGCAAGACTAGCATGGCATGCAGACTCTTCTATGAAGTACTGGTAATGCTGACAGCTGATAGAACCAGATCATTATTTTGTGGCCTGGGGCAAGTCATTTTATATTTTCCTATCTGTTCTCCTTGGAAAGATGACTGTCAGTGTATGTTTGTGAATGGAGAACCTGTAAGCAGCTATGGATCTTTTCTTAGAACTAGAACTTTGTACTTCCCTAATAATCTCATGACAAAGAGAAGTCTCAGTCTCTCTCTCTCTCTCTCTCTCTCTCTCTCTCTCTCTCTCTCTCTCTCTCTC